TTCACCCCAGAGTCCTGGTAGGTTTGAATCACCGATCTTATGGTTAGTGCTCCCCACAGTGCCACCAGGGTGTCTTCATTAAAGGCCATCTAGTATTAATAAAGGAGGCCTGGTGGTGCATTGGGTTAAGCACAGGGCTGGCAAATGCAGGGCTGGTGGTTCAAACCTACCAGCTACTTCAAGGGAGAAATTTGAAGGTGACTGCCTCCATAAATATGTACGGTACCTGAATCCCGAAGGAGCACTTCTGTCCTGTCACACAGGGTTGCTGTGAGTCAGAATCTAGTCAGGAGTTCCATGGTGGTGGGTGTGGTTTTTTTGGTTTAGTGTTAATAAAGTGAGTCCTCCTGGCACAATGGGTAAAGTGCTCAGCTGCCGACCGAAAGGCTGGTATTTGGAGCTCCCCGCTGCCCTGCAGGAGGTAAGACCTAGAAGTCTGCTCCCCTTGAGCTGACAGCCTGGGAAAACCCTGTGGGGCAGTTCCACTCGGTCCGATAGTCTGTGAGTCAGAATTGACTTGCTGGTACCTTAACAACAAGTGTTAAGCATATCACCACTGACTTTGTGTGTCAGGCGTAGAGATTTTATAAGAGAATTTTAACTATACAGACAGCTACCTGGTACAGCCAACTTATGGAATATTCCCCTTTGCCCATTGCGTGCTATCAGCTTGCCCACACTTCGAAACAGCCACTGGCAACAAGTCTTCTCCACACTCACCTTCACTTGCTGCGCTGCAGCTTCCCTTGTACGAAAGGCAGGCTAAGTAAGAATGGATGCACTTGTTCCCACTTACCTATACTTTTTTTTCTAATTTTAAGATTTTTTAAAACATCACTTTATGAGAATGAATACAGATATCATACATCAATCACATCGAACAGTATTGTACAGTTGCTCCCACAATCATTTTCAAAATATTCTTTTCCTTCTTGAACTCCTTGACATCAGCTCCCTTTTACACCCCCAGCACCACCCCCTCTGTACCCCCAGAAACCTGTATTCTACTTGCTGACCCTATAGGTCCATCAATCCTGGCTTTCATATACTGAAAAACATATAACAAATTCAGAGGGTAACAATGACAAAAACACATCTGAGATAAACCCCAGTAGGAACAAACAAACAAAAATACAGCAAATGTTGAAAACCAGGCCTAACAGGTGCATCAGAGTGGCCATCAACTGACAAGGATTTCATTCTTAAAGATACAGTGCGGCATGGGCCCGCTTTGTAACTCTGCGGATGCCTGCGCATTAGCATTTAGCCCTTTGCCACCATAGATGATTTGGGATATAATTCATGCACATGATCATTCAACACATGACTGCAGGACCCTGGTACGATTTTGACTGAAACATTACAGGGTCAAACACATACCTAACGTTTTGCATGGGAAAGAACTTTTAAACAAAATTTCATGAAGCGAGCAATTTGCTGTAGCTTGCAGTTAATAGCGAAGGAAGTCGAGATGGTCTGAAAACTGCAGAAACAGCCAGTCTGAGAATCAGACGATGTGTGCTTCACCCCCGAGGTGGCCGCGTCAGTTCCCTCTGTAACTTTGAACAAGACTCCCTGGTTTCCTTGTACTTAAATCGGAAATAACCCCGACCTCAGCAGTACCGCTGGAGTGTTGTAATGTTGGAAAGGTGACTATGATCCTGTAAAACTCCACGGCACTAACGCCTCGGGTTTTTTTCTGACGCCAGTGCTTCCTTCGTTCACCAAGACACCCATGGACCTCACCATCCGCGCTGGCGCCATGGCACGCCTGGAGTGTGCCGCGGGAGGACACCCGGCCCCCCAGATAGCCTGGCAGAAGGACGGGGGCACGGACTTCCCCGCTGCGAGGGAGCGGCGCATGCATGTCATGCCGGAGGATGACGTGTTCTTTATCGTGGATGTGAAAATCGAGGACATCGGTGTCTATAGCTGCACAGCCCAAAACAATGCCGGAAGTATTTCTGCAAACGCAACTCTGACTGTCCTAGGTAAGTGCATCTTTTAAGATCCTGTGGTGCCCACCCATCGTAAAGACACTCTCTTACCCAGGTGAGCCATTAGCCACAGATCTGAGAGATGAAGATGTAGTCCTTTCCTAGAGAGAGCGAGTGTGGGGGCTGGGGAGCGCCTTCATTCCACGGTAAAGTCTGTAGTTGGGGGGATGAATCTGCTTCCTTTCTTCCATGCCACCACTAGGGGCGCTTGAGCATCCATCCACCTTCGTGTCTGTAGCTGATCACAGGCCACCTAGGGACCTCCGGTCCAGCACACTGCAAGCCAGAATGACTGTGTTTTAAAAGTATTATCCAAAAATAGGCTTGAAAAACTGTGCAATAGGTTTCTTATGCTTGTTCCTTTGAGAGAATTAAAATAATCCATTTAGTCATCAAATAATTAGTGAATTATTTTCAGAGTTGTATGTAGTCCTGGGCATCTGGTTCTGTAAAGGTTCAGTTCAAATACACACATGCACACCCGTACACCTATCCATCAACATGAGCTTGTACGTGAAATTGGTTGTGTATATTTTCATTTTCTTTTTGTAACTGCTTAAGTAAGACTTTTGATTTGCCGACTCCCTCCACTGCCAGTGCCCCAACTTTGGCAGGAGGAGGAGTGAGGGGGTGGCATTAAAACACAGTCCATACCCTTGACTGGCACTGTGGATCAAAAGACGGCAGAGCAATGCAATTTCACCTATTATGTGTTTAGACTCCTAAAGAAACAGGCTCAGCAAGTTGTGGAAGAATCGATACTTGAGGCTCCAATTTGAGCACCGTGTGCTAGTTCTTCTCCTGTGGCAGGTTAATTTCATTCAAACTCCTGGCTACGCAGGCAGTCCCCGACAGAGTGACTTCACGTGTGAGGAAGTGCAGCTGCGCTATACGTTGGTGGTGGTGGTGATCTTTCTGGCAGCCAGTGGCTACCAGGCCTCTCATCATCGACACCACTGGGTGGTGTCAAACTGCCAACCTTTCCGTGGCAAGTTGAGCACAAACCATTTGTGCTACCTTTAAGGAACCTTCCTTTAAGGAATCAAAAGCAGACGTGTCCACAACACGACACATACACTGACGTTACTAAGCCACACACGTGAAGGATGTTGAGATGGGCAACCGTTCGTGACAGCTCATTTACCCAACGTTACCAAAATGTCATTTCAGAAACACCATCGTTTCTACGGCCCCTGCTGGACCGAACGGTCACCAAGGGTGAAACAGCCGTCCTACAGTGCATTGCTGGGGGCAGTCCTCCCCCGAGGCTGAACTGGACCAAGGATGATAGCCCCTTGGTGGTGACCGAGAGGCACTTTTTTGCGGCCGGCAACCAGCTGCTGATTATAGTGGATTCGGATGTGGGCGACGCCGGGAAGTACACCTGTGAAATGTCAAACACCCTGGGCACGGAGCGAGGCAACGTGCGCCTCAGTGTGATCCCCACGCCCACCTGCGACTCCCCGCAGATGACCGCCCCCTCGCTGGACGACGACGGTTGGGCCACCGTGGGCGTTGTGATCATCGCGGTGGTGTGCTGTGTGGTGGGCACGTCCCTCGTGTGGGTGGTCATCATCTACCACACCAGGCGGAGGAACGAAGAGTGCAGCGTCACCAACACAGGTGTGTGCACAGACGCTTGGCACACGCGCAGCAGTCATGCGTGCTGCTGCTCCCGCAGCACTGGGCTTCCCGAATGTGTGGCTCTCGCTGCGTCTGAGCCGGTGTCTGAAGGATGACTCATTGGTTTCAAGTGGCAGAAACCGCGTTGGCTAAAAATAGCACCCCTAAAGAAACTCAGTCTGTACAGATGAATACTCTTTGTTAAAAAACCTCATCGGAATGGCCTCTCAGCTGTGCGGTATTGTCCAGACCACAGTGGAGTGCTCTCCTTCACAGGTGATGGTGGGGTGCCAACAGCCCCCGCCCTCTCCCCCGACCCATGAGGGTCATTCTTGGCAGTAGCTTTTTCTTTGTATAAATATACATGTGTGCATGTGTACATAAACGTGTGTGCATCTGCGCACATCTAGGGAGGACGATAATAATTCATGGGAAGGGTTTCTGATTTGATTAATATGTACAAACACATACTAATAATACAAGGGGGCTTCAAAGAGTTTGTGGAAAGAGGGATTAAAAGATAATGAGACTTTTCCAAAAGCTTTGGAAAGCTGCCCTGTATTGGGCAGGCACTGTGGACGACAGGCCTTTCTACTCCCGTGAAGGCTCAGAGTCTTGGACATGCACCGGGCAGCCCTGCCCTGTTATCCAGGGAAGCTCTGCCTGGGCATGGACCCGATGGCAGTGAGTTTGGGTTGTTTTCAGTGGCAGAATCAAGCAGAATTCACGAGCTGAGCGACTGCTGTTCTGTGCCATTGTGTGCCACGGGACAGCAGAATTACCCCGGAGGATGGCCTTGCCTGTAATCTTTATGGAAACACATCACCAGGGCTTTCTACTGTGGGTTCGAATGGGATGGGTTCAAACCACCCAGTGGCTAATTTGCAGCACTGACTTATTGTGGGTTGCTGTGCGGTGGGCACGTCCCTCGTGTGGGGCTCCTTGCTTACATACCCACCCCACCGTGACAAGTGCTCAAACCTTTGAAACAGCTGCTTATCTCTGAAATTTGAGAGGGCCATCCAACAGTATGCAAAGATGTGATCAGCCCACAGTGATGCTCCAGCGGGGCAAAGCCCCAATTCCTTTGATCTGAACAGTACCCGGCAAAGATGGTTCTGCCCCAGCACATCTGCCCACTTGGTTTCTGCAGAAACGAGCCAGAAGGCTGAGTTCCTCAGAGACACCTCTGGGCAATTCCAGGTGTTCTTGCTGACTAAAGTGCTGTTCTTTGATTGCAGACGAGACAAACTTGCCAGCGGATATCCCCAGTTACTTGTCGTCTCAGGGGACGTTAGCTGACAGACAGGATGGGTACGTCTCCTCAGAAAGCGGAAGCCACCACCAGTTCATCACTACTTCCGGAGGCGGATATTTCTTAGCACCACATGACAGCAATGGTAAGTGCTTACAGTCACCATGGACTTTAGTTGTTTGGAAACCGCATGGTAGGAGGCTCAGGATGGCCTTAGCTTTCATTAGAAATAGATGCACTGGTTATTCAGGACCTGGCCCTAAAGCTAACACTGCATTGCTGTCTACTCATCTCTTAAACACTAGAAAAATCTCTGTTTCCAACAAACACGTCAGTTAAGTTTTAATTTTTCCATGCAATATAATGTTTTCTTTACATTCTTGGGGTTTTCTTTTTGCTTTTTTCTTGCCTAAATGCTGCCTGGGTTCACACATGGACTTCGGAGTCACATGATGTTGAATCATTGTCTCTGAGAAGTCTAATGCTGGCTGTTGCTGTAAGAACTCTGGTTTTAATAGTGATGCTGAAGGCTGTATAATGTGTGGACATGGGCTTGGCTCAAGATCCTCTTTGCTCACTTGCTCCTAGTGTAGCCATAAGCAAGTTGCTTAACCTTTATAAACTTCAGTTTCTGTGTCAACTGGGCATACTTACAGAAGCCCGGGTTATATAATGGTTACCAATTGGGCTGCTAACCTCCAGGTCAGCAGTTCAAAACCACTACCTGTTCCTCAGGAAACATACTGGGCTTTCTACTCTGTAAAGAGTTGCCATCTCAGAAACACAGGGACATTTCCACTCTGCCCTATAGGGTCGCTGTGAGTCAGCATTGACTCGTTGGCAGTGAGTTTGTTATTTTTGTGTTGGGGATAATTATAGAGCTCAGTCTCTTGGGCTGTTGGAAATGAAATGACAATGTGAACATCTGCTATACACTGAGTGGCATATATTAAGAACTCAAACGAATGGAAATGATTTGGGTTGTTTTAAAATGCTTTACCCTATTTTCCCACAAACATACATCAAACAACTTCTCTATGGCGGGCTCCGTAGTTAAGAGACGAGCAGATTGGTTCTCGGTGACGTCATTTACTCAGTGCAGAGACAAGCAAATTATTACAGAGTGCATGGCAAGGCAGTAGTGAAGGATACAGTGTTAGCAGAGAAGTGCTAAAAATAAAAATGAGTGCCCTGGTTAGAGTCATCTGGTTGCAGGGCAGAGACCAAAGCTTGCTTGACTCTCACAGGGTTTACGAAATAGGCACGGCAAAAGACTCCACACGAGTATCAGACCATGATGGTGCCAAGGTGCCTGGATGCTAGGGCCAGAGGAGGGTTCCCTCACAGCAACACCCTGGGCTGTGAGCTCCACAGAGCTGAGCCACCCTCGGCAGGTTTGCTGCTCTCTGAGCTCACTAGCCCTACTTCTGGTTTCTGTTTCGCAGACAGGTGGCCCGTCGTGGCACTTTTAACTCTATTTATATCACCTGTCGTTCATCTGCTCTGTTCACCAAAACACCAGTGGTTGGTGCAGCCCCCAGACTCGTCAGCACCGATGCGTCAAAGTAGACCTGTGTTCCAGTGTGATTTCAATGGATGTTCAAAAGTCAGTTATCAGTCCTTGCTTCCAACGTGCCTCCGGGTGGACTTGAACAGTAAGCCTTTAAGTTCCTAGCCCAGCACGTTAACCATGTATACCAGCAAGGGCTGGACAACTGACTAACAGGTTCTATCTGTGATGTTTGGCTCAAATGCCAGCGTGGAACGATTTCTCTGATTGAGTGCATTTCTGAGCCTGGCATGAAAAGGCCCTCCCAGGGCTGGTTTCTTGTGACCTTTAGAGAGGAAAAGGGGCAGTGTTGAGGGTACCTTGTTTTGGTTCAAATCTGAGTTGCTTTAGCTGCGGGGTTCGTGACAGATCAGTCCCTCCTGAAAGCCAGGTAGAACTGGCAAACAAGACCAACGTACCCAGCACAATGGCTAGTCATGTGTCCTTTCATAAGATGTCACCAGCCTATGCAGTTAGGCATCCATCCACCACCACCGCCACTTGCTGTTGAGTTGATTACAACTCAGGGCAATTGCATGTGCTACGTTGAGCTGCTCGGCGGGGCTCTCATGGCTGAAGCAGATCGCCTGGCCTTGCTTTTGTGTCATCTCTGGATGAGTTCAGGCGGTGACAGCCTTTTGGTTAGGTCTGAACATTAACATTTGGTTCGGTCGCTAAGCACTTCACATTTTGCACCACCCAGGGACTCCGTAGGCCTCAAATCCAAACCAAAATGATCCGTTGTTTGTTGTCGAGTTGTCAGAGAAGCCCCCCGCCCCACTGGCTTTTCAAGGCGGTAGCCTCAGGCCCTTTCTTCCGAGACCCTCTGATTCCACCCGCCAGCCTTCCAGTGGGTACTCTAGTCCTTAGCCGTCTCCATCCCTGGGCCCCGGTCTGTGCGCTTGTGCAAAAGCTGCAAGTCCCTGCCCGTGTGCCTTTTAGATGATGACCGAGCGAACGCTTTCCTCTCTGAGTACCTGGTGGTGGAGAGAATGTTGAACGGTATGAGCACGAATGGCTCCGTGGCTAAGATTACGATCTTTTTTAAAGGGACCTGCCACATTGATAACAGCAGCGAAGCCGACCTGGAAGCTGCCACGGATCCGTTTCTGTGTCCTTTTCTGGGATCCTCGGGACCCGCGTACTTGAAGGGGAACATGTATGGCTCAGATCCCTTTGAAGCCTATCATGCAGGTCTGTGACGTTCTCCCGAGTGACTGCTGTGTCTCCTAGGGGGCCTTGTTGAAAGTGCTAAATCTTTCTCTTTCTCCTATTCCCCCAAATTCAAAAGGTTGCACTCCCGACCCGAGAACAGCGCTAATGGACCACTATGAGCCCAGCTGCCTAAAGAAACAGGAATGTCCCCCCTATGCTCTCGCAGTGGAGGAAACCTTTGACCATGGGCTCACTGCGGTAGGGCTGCCGTCACATGCCAGGAAGCTGGTCTACTCTCAAAGTGAGGGGCCCGGAATGAGAAATGGCTGTCTCAACAAGGCCTCCTTAGATTTTAGTACAACACCAGAAGCAACGTCCGTGGCAACAACTCACTCTCTCATGGGTAAGTTCATTAAATCATGAGTTAACTTTTACCAAGGCCCAATCCACACTCAACGGTTTCATCTAGCGAAGCCACAAGGGCTGTGGATGCCAAACTCTTGGAAGGGTTATTTTTTGTTCCTACATTGTAATCACAACATCCAATTAGTTGGCATAACTGTTTCTGAAAGCAAAGGCAGAGGTGGGGTTGATTTGACGCGATGCTGCCTTTCATCCCTAATGGAGGCAGCCTTAGGAGCTGTCTGAGGGACACTGTGTGTGGTATAGTCTAGAGCAGGTCTTTGGGAATGACTTAAGAGCTCAGCTTGTCAGCCATGTGGAAAAAGTGGTTTTGGACTACAACGGCCTTTCGGGTGGAGTTGGGTACGCGGCATGATTGTGGTTTGGTGTGTCTGGTGGCTTATAACTGCATCCACAGCAGAAGGGTGGAAAACAGCATCCTACCTAGCAACAGCGGCCAGTCAGACAAGCCGGACCATGGTTGGCGGTGGGACGTGAGCCTGGAAGTGTGAGCTGCTGTTCAAAACTGGCTGGAGGAGTTCATGGGTAATACAAATAGCACTGGGCTGCTGACCACAAGGTTGGCAGGTGGAACCTCCCCGTAGACATTGCAGCAGAAAGGCCTGGACATCTACCTCTAAGAAATCAACCTCTGCAAAGGTCGGGGTACAGTTCTACTCTAAAACATATGGGCTTGCTATGAGTCTGAATCAACTCCATGACAACTTTTAAAACATATTGTTATACAATAATTGAACGTGTGTAAGATGCATATTTCAGGTTTATAGCAATATATAGCATGCTGCCTCATCTGAAATAGGTCTTGTTGGATTATATCTTAGCACAGGATGCCTGCACTCAAAGGGTTTCTTTCTTTCAGGTACATTTGGAAAGCCTCTGAGGAAACCTCACCTGGATGCCTTTTCAGGCTGTGGGCAGCCATCAAACTGTCAGCCAGTAGCCTTTCTCTTGAAGGCTCACGATTCCCCAGACTTGGACTCTGAAGCCGAGGATGATGGGAAATTTGAAAGGACAGATTTTCAGGAAGAAAATCACACATGTTCCTATACACAGACCTTAGAAAACTACAGGACTCCAAGTTTTCAGTCTTATGGCTTGGACACATAGACTGAACGGGAGGATCAAAGAACTCATTTCACATACTACCTCAAGTGGACTTGTATTTAAAAGAAAGAAAACCCTATGTTTTTAAATGGAGCTATGAATTATAAGAGGACAAACTGCCTTATTTATACAGATGAACCAAGATTACCAAAAAAGTTATAAAGATTTTATACAGGGAATGACTGTCATATAAGACTATCACTTAAAAATATTTTATGACTTTGTTTTAAGCAAAAAAGAAGTATGTTATGTAAATTAATGGTATAAATCCCATGACTATTTTATGTATTTTTATAATGCCAGATTTCTTTTTATTGAAAATGAGTACTAAAGCATTTTAAATAATACCCATCTTGTACCTTTTTCTGATTAGAGGTCCCTTCATTTTATTTTACACATTACATTTAATAAAATGTGTCATTTTTATCTCGCCCCTGTTTATACAATAACAAATTCTAAATCAAAGTGTGTCCTGGCTACACTTATTATTATATTTTTTGTTTTTCAGACACTTCTAGCTTAATCTCACATTATTATATCTCAACAGAATGAAAATTATGTGTAGCCCATTAAAATACAAGTGAAAATGCAGGGGTTGTTGTAATACAAATCCACGTCAGATTAGGGCAGGTGAGAACATACTGTGAACCAGAAGGACCTACAAGGAGTCAAAAAACATTAGTTCCATTTGATATTAGCATGCTTTTTATTGCAGATATCCATACTAAGCTTAAACATTAAAAATAAGTTTGTTGAACTATATATTTTTTAATCATTTTGTTAGGGGCTCATACAACTCATCACAATTCATACGTACATCCATTGTGTAAAGCGCATTTGTACATTCATTGCCCTCATCGTTCTCAGAACATTTCCTCTCCACTTAAGCCCCTGGCATTAGGTCCTCATTTTTCCCCTCCCTCCCCGCTCCCCCCAGTTTGTTGAACTATTGAAGAGAAATCTCCACTTCCTTATCCCCACATTACTTGGACACTGCATATTATTTTTATACTGGGAGAACATTGAAAGTGAGAACTGATTATATTTCCTGTGCTTCTCTCCTTTTTGAAAAAATAGTTTTATTGGCATATAATTAACATTGTATAATTTAATCATTCAACCATATTAAGAGCTATGCAATCACGACAGCCCATTTCTGAACGTTTTCTTCTTTCTTGTATTCATTGTTAGCTCCCCACTCCGTGAATTCATTCCTAACGCGATCAGCAAAGCAGCTCAGCTGTTACCTGTGGTGCAGTACCACACAAAGCCCTTTGCTGACATCACGACTCAGACTAGGTTCTCCTAATCATAGTAGCATCTTCTGTGAGAGAATACCTGTGTATTTCCTGATGGCTTCACATTCACCATTCCCGCTACCGTGACTAGAGAGTGGCACATTGGACAGTTCTAGTAGCTGTAATAGCTGGACCAAAGTGGGGGGGTGGGGGACAGGCTGGTGTGTGTGTGGGGAGAGGGCGGTGTTCATTCACTGTTCCAGGCTAGAATGGGGTGCTGCCAGCATTCCTTTCGGTTCATACCAAGTTTTTCATATTTTCTGAATAAGTTTTTATATAAATGCTATTTCTAACATACTCTTACTTTCTTTTGTTTTAAGAGTAAGTAGATTATTTTCCTAATTTGGTCATCACAGCTCAACTTCATTAAAAGCTAAGTATAAAATCTATTACTTAGTGACATGAACACTGTTTAAAACACCTTTTTCAGCTGTATTTAGGTGAAGATATCATTAGATGACTGGCATATATACACAGAAATGTGAACGCAATTATATTTTCTTTTTTTGCCCCCTTGCAATTATATTTTCAAAACTAAGTGGTTTGAGTCAAATGGAGCACACCAAGGTTAATAACTCAGGTGATGAAACTACATGCTTTTTTCTTGAGCCAGTCTTTGTTCATATCTGAAGTTGGAAACAAACCCCCCTTGCCCACGATCAATGGGCATGAAAGGAGTTAACAGATAGCAAGTGACGTTTTAAAATATAACCGTTGAAGGTATGAAGCCAGGCTTTTGTCAGGTCTTTGAACTAACGTGAAAGCTGCTACGGGGAAAGCGCTCCTTTGTAGAGCACGTCTTCTGGTAACGTTCCCCTGCTTTGTCAGGTGAGAGCTTGTGGTTTGACATCCAGGAACCTGGAACCCAGATTGCTATAGGACTTCCTTCCTTAATTTAGGTGTCAAGAGTCCAACACAGGAAGCTGATCCGCCCTGGCCCCACCAGTGACTGGGGCAGAGGTGTCACTTCGTGTCTTCATCATATTGCCAGAGTTTGGAAAATGAGTACATTGTTCCCATTATTGTCAGGTGTGATGCAAACTCAATATGGGCCTCAGCCAGTGATGAGGAATGTCTTCGGGAGTGCTTTTTCCGGGTTTATGTACAAAAGGTTTGATCAACACTGACAATTCAAAAACGAGAGTCACTCTACAGCAAGGTGATGTTTACACTCTTGTGCTGCTTGGGCCCTGAAACGGATTAGATATCATTGAGAGAACAGGAAGAGCTTAAATATATATAATTTGGAGACTCACTTGGCTTAATCATATGGATACAGTCAATATTCAAATACAAACCCACCGCCATCAAGTCAGCACTCTCTCATAGCGACACTGCACTTGTTATGGGAGTAGAAAGCCCCGTCTTTCTTCACAGTGCTGCTGGGGGTTTCAAACCGCTGACCATACAGATTGCAGCCCAACGCCCAACCACCCCACCAGCAGGGCTCCTGAATAGTCCATATTAGAGTGTTCTAGAATAACATGGACATAAGCAAGAAAGTCGAATGAAGATACCTGTCATAGTCTTCGGTTTATCCGGAGGAGGAAGGCTCAGAAACTTTGTATGAGACCTTACCTGTATTTGAAGACAATGGAAGAGGAGGACCCCTTGCCTGTGGTCCCATGTTATGGATATGAGCTCTGTGGAATATCTACAGTTTATTTTCATAGCCTTCATGCGGAAGGACGCCACAAATTATTTCTAAGGAGAGGCCCAACCATAGTTTAAAGACAGAAGGAGAGTGGTTTGGTATTCGTACACACCTGCGGGGTCAGTGCATTCGATTTTGTGTTAGAGAAGTCGTCCTTCGTGACCAATGTTGGGACAGTTGTGCTGCGTGGGTGCCTTTCGGGGGAACAAGGATCAAACTGCTATGGCAGACTGCCCCTTCTGGCACTTCCACTCTTGGAATCTGCAGTGATTGAGTTTGTGGAATAGGAAAATCAGCATTCACTCTTTTTATCACCTATGAACAGGGGTCCTGGTGGCGTGTTAGGTGTTGGGCTGCTCACCGAAGGGTCAGCAGTTGGAAACTCCCAACCACTCGTGTGGGAGAAGACCAGCTTTCTCCGCCCAGAGAGTGCCAGTCTCAGAAGCCTGCAGAGACAGTTCCGTCCAAGTTAGATACAACGGTCAATGGGAGTCGGGATGGACTCGATGGCAGTGAGTTGCGTTTTGAACACAAGGAACCAAGACAGAGTGGGCTAAAGCTTGGGCTGCTAATCACAAGAACAGAAAGCCAAACTAACCACTCACTTGATGGGAAAAAGATGAGGCTTTATGCTCCCTGCGAGATCTACAGCCCCAGAAAACCCCAGAGGCGTTCTACGTGACCCTGTAGGGTTGCTATGAGTCAGAATGGACTCGATGGGATGGCAATACGTTTGATTCAAAGTCTGAACACATTCAATGACCACACTCTCTGCCCGAAGTATTAGAGTCTTTAGAAAGGGCTATGGGTTCTTCATGAGTGGAATCATTGCAATTATCCAAAAATATTCAGTTGCCAGACTTAACTTTAACACAGGGCATTTCTTAGAACAATGTATAATAAGAGTACTAGAATATAGAGCTATTTGCCCATACATATTAGCTGAATTATCCCAATCATTTGGACCATTTGCTATTTGGAGCTGGAGTGGCTTTGAGTAAAGATGTTTGATATCTCATGAGGTATTTTCTGATCGATGACAGTCCATTATGGATTGGAATATGAGCATTTTATCAATCCAGTCTTACTATTACAAACATTTAAGTCCATTTTCCATTCATAATCACTGTTTAGTGTCATGGATCCAAACAGACCTTGTGATTCCATATTCTCCCATATGAGAATTTAAATTGATGAATACATGAAAGTTTTGATCAATATTAATTTGTAATTTTTGTCTTGATTACCTTTTTAAGCTAAATTCACATCTGCAATATTATTCTTGAATTTCTTCATTAATTGTCTCAATTTTTCATATGCTTTTGTTGGGTTTTATGGTTGATTTTTGGCTTTTAATGAACCTTTAAAATCAGTTTTGAATATAACTCCCACTAATTCCCACTCCCTTATCATTTTGACTATTATAAGATTTCTGCATGGGGCTTGATTTTGACCAATCTACAAGTCAGTTGAAATTTAATAACAACACATAGTTTTTCTTTAAACATTTTTCATATACAACTGATTATATATTTGGCATGACTGCTGTGAAAATGAGTGAGACTGTCCTCATTCTAACTATGAGCTGAAACAGGAAGCAGACCCTTCAATACTCTTGTTCTAATTTGCAGCTGGAGCAGGAATCAGGCCCGTTAATAAACAGTTGTAACACATGTGTTAAATGCCATGGTTTAGTGGGGGCCCTGTAGTTGGCACTGATTTTGCCTCTTCAAATCATTGCTTTCTACTTGAACTGCTTTACCTACAAGTGTTACTTGCACTTCACTCAATAAGTCCCCGGATACCTGTTCTTTCCACCTGCATCCCCAAACAATTCCAGTTCTTTTTACTTCCTTTCTCGTTTAATCAAAGGGCTTTTGTGGCACAGTAGTTAAGCACTTGGCTGTTTCCTGAAAGTGTGGTGGTTTGAACCTGCCAGCTTCCCTGTGTGAGAAAGCGCTGTCCCTCTGCTTTACAGGAAAGCTTTCTGGCCTAGCATGCCCTCTGGGCTGCTATTCTCTGCCCTGCAGGATCGCCAAGGCTCAAAATCAACTTGACTGCAGTGGGTTTGGTGTTCATTTTGCTTTTGTTGTTGTTTCTTGTTTAATCATATCACCAGTCCTATTGATGTTGTGGAAGTGCCCTGGTGGTGTAGTGTTTAGTCATTGGGCTGCGAACCACAAGGTCAGTAGTTCAAAACCACCAGCCTCTCCATTTAATACGATTTTGGTTTATTAAGGTTTATTGGTTTATCCATTAAGCAAGTGGCTGTTATTTTAGAGGACCTTTATGCCCGTGTTTATAGGTTGAAGAGAAAAATTAAAAAGGAAAGTGTGCCTGCTTTCTCTGCAGTCAGATCTCTGTTACTCTCCACGGAAGCCCCGTGCGCACACATGGAAAACCACGGACTGTATTTTCTGGTTTGGGCGCTATTTCATACCTCTCATTCATCTTGTAAGACTCAGTTCAAATAT